CAGTCGGAGGACCGACAGGTAAGGGGACTTAGTCGAGGGCAGTACATTAGCAGAATGCTCATCCCCAATCCTAAGCAGGTTACAAACCAGTTCGGCCAGTATCAAGTTGGCTCAAGTATATGATGTCGACACCAACTTGCCGTTCCTCTACCAACATCACGCCTAACTACAACGAACACCAACATCCGAGAGACGGGGCAGCAACTGTACATAACTAGATAGATGAAGTAAACCGAAACATTAAGACTCCTAGACTATGCAATAACATCATACAACTCGAAAATACATCTTGCACACCACCCGAACACAAGCAGTCACCTATCCAATTCCAGATACACCAACTCACACACCAGATGGTTAACAGGCCACAACCCAATGAAAAAGAAAACCATCTCATATTGCTGTCTGCTTGCTTGCTTGCCTGCCTGCCTGCCCTACCCTACCAAAAGCAACCCCCCAAAAGCCACACGCTTTATCAAAATTAAAGAACCACGGCCAACTCCCCACGATCAATACCCTCCTCCACTAGGTTCGGATAATACGGCACCATGGCATCGGCGCCCCACACATAGGCATCATTATACAGCCTCCAATACGGCGTGCGGACCTTCCTCGCCGGGTGGAACAGCCCCGCCCAGACATAATTCAGCACCAGGCCCGGGCCGACAGCCATGCGGACGGCCTCGATGGCCTCGACGATGCGGTCGATGACGTGGGGGCTGGTCTCGAACAGGTTGGGGTACAGCAGGTTGAGCAGGTGGACCATGGCGTCCTCGCAGCCGAGGCCGACGACGCCGAGCGCGATGTGCTTGACGACGCTGGCGGCCGTCTGGCGATGGACCTGGTCTCGGTCGATGAGGGCGTCCTCGAGCAAGGGGGTGACGGCGTAGACGTAGTCCTTGGCCATCTCGCCGATGTACTCGAAGAGGAAGGAGAGCGACTTGAGCACGCCGTTTTGCACGTTCAGCTCCGGCACGCGGTACTCGTTCATCAGGGCCGGCAGGACAGTGAAGGGCGCGCACGTCTCGGCCACGATGCCGATGGCGACGGCCGTGTTGACGCGGGACTGCCGCTCCTGCACGCGCAGGTTGTTGAGAAGGGTGGCGAGCACGTCTTGGGGACCAATGGCCTTGGCGATGAAGCCGAAGGTGTTGTTGGCGGCGCGGCGGATGCCCTTCTTGTGTGCCTTCAGCATGTCGAGCAGCTCGAAGCAGATGCGCATCCACTCGCGAGCGTTGACGCTCTCCGGGCCGCGATCGGCGATGCGCCCCACCAAGTCAATGGTGTTCTCCTGGACCTTTTCGTGGCGGTTGCGGAGAATAGGGGTGAGGCGCGGGAGGAGGTCTTTGATGGGTGGTTGCATCTGGCTAATACCGACGACGGTGACGATGGAGCGGAGGGCGCCGAGGATGGAGCCGAGCACTTCTGGGTATTCTTCACCGAGATATTCGTAGAGGACAATACCGAGTTTGCCCATGAGGGCGTCCTCGCCACATTGCTTCATGACCATAGCAATGCGTGAGACGAGGTCAGCCGCTTGTTGGCGGACCGTGGCTGACTTGTTGTTGAGACGCCAGAGGACTGTGCTGACGATTTGAGGGAGGTATGGCTTGCAGCGCGTGCCGAGGGCGTTGACCACCGAGCCGAAGCCATTGAGCATGACGATGTCCTCGACGCTCTGTTCCTGGAACGCATGTAGGATACCGTCGATCAGCCGCTCCTCCAAGCGCTCACCGATATCAGCCGCGCCAAGAGAAGCCACTACTTTCTCAACCGTCTCGACCGTCATCTTGCGGTATGCTTCGCTCTCATCCTTTAGGTTGGCTACAATCCTCTCAAGGATCTCGCTGACACCAACCTTTTGGCCGATATCAACTGTAGTCTCGACCACCTGCCTGTAGTTACGCTTGTCGAGAGCCATGCGCCGCACCCAGAAGCTCTTGAAGAACTCGTCAAGGACGTGCTCCTTTAGGTAACCGGCCGTAACTCCATCGGTGGCGGCGCATTGCGAGACGACCTTCAAGACGACTTTCTTCATCTCTTCGTCGGGCGATGCGAACTCGCGGAGGAGAATCTCCATGATTTGGCTCGTGTAGTAGTTTGCGTAATCCTCATCCATCAGGGGAATGATGTAGCCAACCGCCTTCAGGAAACCCGCCAGGCCCTTGCCTCGCTGCTTGCGGGCGCCGGTCCATAGGGGGTTGAGGATGTCGTCGAAACTCTCAATGCCGTACGGGTTCGACGCCTCGGCCAGAGCAGCGATGGCCAAACTGGTCACCGTCCGCACCTTGGTTTGCTCGTCGTTCAAGTTAGGGCCGATACAGTCGACGAGCTGCTTTAGGTGGGGCAAGACTGCACAACCCATCAGAATGGGTATTTGCTGCACGATCTTGACGCCGGTATGACGTGCCTGCCACGACTTTTTGCTGCGGCAGACGGCCCTGAGGAAGGGAAGGAGGGCGGGGATGCCGAGGGCAGAGGCGACGACGGCGAATGCCCGAGCGGTGGTGTTCCTCACGTATTCGTCTACGTGGTCGATATCCGGACGCATGACGCTAATCATGGTCGCGAGGCCCGCAGCTTTAGCGAGGTTAGAAATAATTTCACGGCCCTCAACCCGAGCATAGTAGTCCTGGTCAATGAGCAGCGGCTCGATGACGACTAGGATCTTGTGCACAAACGGCCGGACCATGTCATCCAGCTTGTAGAGGATGCGGTCGATGACCTTGACGAGCAGATGGCGCTCCTGGTCCTCAAGCGTCTTCTCCATGAGCAACGGAAGGATCTGGTTGAAGAGTGGCCCGGCGCCAAAGTTGCGTGCGTTATCTGTGAGTTGTCTGAGCGCAGTCTTCCTCATTGGAGGAGTACCATTCTTGACCTTCAGCAGAAGACGCATGATCTTCCTCTCCTTAAGCTCATCGACACTGAGATCATCCTCGTTTGACCCATCCGTCAGCTTTCCAAAGTAGGTCATGTCTTCAGGCTTGAAGAACTGCAGATCGCCCACGCCAGGGATCTCCTTAGGCATCTGCTGACCTGTGACGCGCCCACTGCTTGGATCCTGCATCATGAACCCCGTTGCCGGCGTCGGGGCTGAGACCAGCTTGTGCGCGGGAGCCCGTACTGGCGCATAGCCCGGCGGGGGCTCAAGAACCTTGTAGCCCTCCTCGGGGCCGGGAAGCATCGCGTCGAGCTCTTCATCACTGAGGGGCATGTATCGACTCGACGCATCTGTGCCGAAAGCAGTGGGCAACACGACTCCCTGGGAAGGATGCATGGGGGTAGCCAGGCCAACGTTACCGATGGGTGTGGCAGACGGAGCTTGGTCCCACCTGGACCGCTTCTTTGACTCGGCCCCTGGTTCGGCCCCGATGGTTGGGACAGAAGGCGTTTGGTCCCAGCGTGATCTCTTCTTAGGCTCGGCTGGTGCGGGAGTAGCCTCCACGGCTGTCTCGGCCGAGGCAACATCCCACCTCTTCTTGCGTTTGCGGCCAGCCGCGGCGTCGGCGGATACTGCGCCCTCATTCTCCTTGTCCGCCGAGTCCCTGAGTGTTGGCTGGTGCTCTGCTACCGGCCCATCCTTCATCTTTTGTTCGATAGCGCGACGAACGCGCTCCTCCTCCCGTTCAATATCACGGCGCTCCATGATAGCGCGGTAGGTCTCGCCTTCCTCGGCCGAGCCGCCCTGGCGGTTGGCGGCAAAGGGGTCGGCGCGTGTTGGTGTCAAGCCGCGGTCAAAACGGCGTTTCTGATAGTCGGTCTCCCGTTCGGTGATGCGGTTGCTGCGCTCGCCGCGGCCAGCAAGAACGTCGTCCTCCTCGACGCCATTGCCACGCGCAAACTCGTCGATCTGGGAGCGGGTAGCCGTGTACTGGCCGACTAGGCGACGCGAGCTGTCGGCATCGGCCATCTCCTCGTCGGCATCGCCATCGGCACCTGGTAGAGAGCTGTGGTAGCCGGCAAACTTGTCGGAGCCATTCTCGCGTTCGTAGAGATCTGTGTCCCAGGCTTCGCTCAGCTTGGCCTTAGTCGAGGAGTCAGCTCGCTGGTTGGCGGGGTCAAAGGTCCAAGAACCTTTCTTCGAGGCGGCAACGGCATTGCGCTCAGCCTGGAACTTCCGGATCCGTACAAAGTCCGCGTCCGACATGGTGCTGCTGCCCGCTCGGCGCTGCGCTCATCCTATTCGTTGGAGATTATTCTTTATGCTATGCTGGGTGGCGGGTTGCCGATGCGATTAGGATATCGATATATGCGGAATGTGTTGCGAGATGGGCGTCGCAATCGAATATGTTGTCGCCGATGGCGACTCGTGATGGATGAAGGCTAGATCGAGAGAGGTTGGAGGGGGAAACAAAATGGAATTGCGGATATTCGAAGCTCGGAGGCTGAAAGGGTCGTGCGTCGCGATGGAGCACTCGCCGTTGCCGTGTGTTGAAATTTCGGCGGCCAGTTTGGCGAGGCTGCCACGCTAAACGGCTTGGCGCAGCGAAGATCCATGAACGGTATTAGGTAAGCCACTAAGGCCTGGGCAACCTCGGTTTGCAATCGGTCACCACCTTTTTGCTCCTGTTCAAACTGGAGTTGACAACCGAATGACTCAAAAATTAGCCTTATTGAACTTTTTATTTTACAAGGCAGCAGCTTGGCAGTCGAGAGAAAATAAACTGCCGCGTTAAAAAGAAAGTGACAACACAAAACCCTCGGAAATGTCACCCAACGACTGTGCTCTTTATGCCGAGCTGCTCGCCAACATCCGTCAGATTTCCCTAGCTGCATGGCTCTCTTCGCCATGTGACGCTTCGACTCGTGTCGCTGTCCTCGCTGATTGCAGAACCATTGAGCTTAGACATCGCAATAGCATCCATCTTCTAACGCTCCCAGCAAAGACAGCTCTTGGCAGCACCTTGCTCCCTGTGCAGGACCAAAAAGGCAGCACATCTCTCTCCTGGCGACTCCCTCTCGATGCCTCGTCCCTACCCCCATCACATCAGCTGGACGAAATGGTTTGGTCGGCGACAGACCTAGATCCTGAATCTGGAGTCGCTTGCAGGCAGTGCGCCACCGAGGTTGTCTGTTCTGGGTCCGTTAAGGTTTGGAAAGACCTCCCCAGCGAGAACTGGGCCGAGATGATGGAATTCTGGCATTGCCACAAGCCTGATCATCATCACCATCACAATCCGAGCGAGGAAGATGGAAAGGCCGGCGAAGAGAGCCTCGCTGCGAGGGGCTACGGCGCTTCCTCAGCCATCTCTGCCCAGGAGGGTGTTGGTTTTGTGGACTTAACGACGCTTCTTTTCGAGGAAAGGGATTGTCAGAATGTGACGGTAAGTTTGGCGTTATCGGGTACTCGATGTACCGTGTCTTTTTTTTGTTTCTTATTATGAACTGCTCAAAGGAGTCTTCGTTTTGGGCATCAAGAAGGTAGCCACACCGGCCCACAAAGCCTCAATGGAGTGGATACCGATACAAATGCCCTAGATCAGAGTCATGGCGAATTTTCCTGTTCACGCAGGCTACTGGGCGGGCGAACCTCCCTCAGGGGATGGGTCGCTGCCTCCGGCAGACAGCCTACCCTCCGCACTTCGCCAGATCATTCTTAAGTGGAGACTGCTCTGGGATTATTGGAGGGACATGTCTTACACGGCACGCCTTAAGCAACCCCAAGTCAGTCAGTGGCTGACCGTTTCCCGTTTATAGTTCTCTCTCTCTACTTTTGATCAAAGTGCGGCGGATAGACAAAGCCTCTTGTTGGTTGATGATACAACAAACCATGCCCCCAACCTAAACGTCTTCTGCTCTTCCTGCCGTACGCAACTGGGCTTTTTCAACTTTCGAACTTCCGCAGTCACCCTGCTCAAGTGGCAAATATCCTGCAAGTCGGCCTCGGACGCCGCGCCAGGCATCCCAGAGTGTCTTGCAGCCACACTCATTTCCACCATATCCCGATCCGGGTCCTCGAAGTCTGTGATAACCCCCCTAAGCGGAACCGCCCAAGAAAGCCACGTGGAGGCCAATTCAGAGAAAGCAATCCACATTTGGGTGCTCAATAGCGGCATTGCGTATTCCTCAAGTGGTACCCCGCAACGCACACCAGCCATCAAACTCCTCTATCGGCCGTTGCCCCGTGGGGAGGCGGACAAGATGCTGGAGGCCGTCACCTGCGATTCCCTGGAAATAAACCTGCCAGCACAGGCGGTGGGCGAGGTTATCCGGCATTTGGACGACAGCAACGTGTTGTTGCCGCCGGCGGAGCGCGTGTACATGGAGTGGAGGGTGGGGTTGCTTACGAGATGGGAGCGGCGAGTATGATTGCCTCGCGTACAAGGGATGCAGGCACTGAAACAGCTCATCGGCAGGCTTCCTGTCAAAAGATGGCGTCTTTTTTTTCCTACCTAGGTATCTAGGTACGCTTCCCTAATATTCTCTGCCATACTAGTTTGGCGCCGCCTTCCCAATTACACTGTTGGTACTACACCCTAACTCGACCCATTACCCGCCATCCTCGCAGAGTCAGAACCCACGCCAAAACGCGACGATGCCGGATGGCGATGGGGTCTAGTGGGTTTGGGGAGAAGCAACTACTGTGTCTTGTAATGGGTGATGGTTTCGCGGCACTACTCCATCACTCAACGACACAGGCGGCAACAGATGGTTTTTGTCAACGGTACGGAACCTAGCAAGCAGGGGGGTTCTGTACTGTCGGGAGAGGTCACCCGTTGCCGCCCGTATCGTTGGTTCGAGCCGATAGCCCGTCTAAGAACCGACCCTAAACCCGGTGGCTCGTCGGACAGCTAAGAATACGCTATAATAAAGACAATCCGCGGCCGGCCTTCGACGCTCAGTCGTAGAAGATGGGCCCTGAGATGCATGATAGGGGGGTTGTGAGAGGGAAAACTGCTAATGTGAAATACGCCGTAGATGGATGGAGAGAATGATTGGAGAAAGATGAGGGAGAGCCAAATCGAACCCGGGCCCGTCCGCCCCCCTATACCTGTCTCTGGAGAGCACGGGAAATCAGCCAAGAGAGTCGTTATGCCAGTTTATACAGTGGGTTCTCATCCGTCTAAAAGTCGGGTCGTATTAGCTTAGCCGCTAGCGGATTTTAGTCTCTTGCTTCTCCTCCGCGTTGAGATCGTGACGTCCAACCCCGAGCCTTGGCTCGGATTGTTGTCGTCAGACTCTTTTCCCACCGCACTACCGACTTTCCTCTTCCTGCCCGTCCGACCAACCGCGCTCACCAGCGCAGCGACCTCCTCCCGCATCTCCGCTTTCTCCACCTTGACCACTGCCCCAGCATCACCCCCAGAGAGCAAATCCGAATCCCCCCCCAACCACCGTCCCAACCACCGCCCCCCACCACCCCCCGCTTCCCCTGCTCCCCAGAAACAGCAGCAGCCGCAGCAGCAGCAGCACCCCCTCCCCCCGCCTGCCCCGCAAACGACTTCAGATTCGCCGTGAACAGCACGCTCTGGGCCCAGCCGGCGTGGGCGCCCCAGATGCCGCGGAAGTGGTCGCCCACGGCATCGTGCATGGTCTTGGTGAAGGTCTTGCTGCCCTTGGCGCCCTTGCCGAAGCCGTAGTCGCGCTGCGCGATCTGCCAGACATGCGTGTCCACCGGCACCGCCTCCCACCACCCCAGCCCCATCAGGCAGACGCAGTCGGATACCTTGGGGCCGACGCCCGGGAGCGTGAGCAGCGCTTCGTGCGCGGCGCGGTAGGTTGGTGGTTGCTGCTGTTGCTGTTTCGCTGCTTCTGGTGCTTCTGTTGGTGTTGTTGGGGGACTGGTATTCGAACCTCGTTCCGACTTGATGACGTCTTTTGGTGTGACATCGGGTTCGACCTTGGTGGTGGCGGTCGCGGTGGTAGTGGTGGTCTCACCGACAGCCGGACAGGCAGGGTTCCGGAGCTGGAGAAGCCATCCTGCGGGCTTTTCTGAGGACACTAGGCGCGCTGTTTCGACAATGTACCTCGCACGATAGCCAAAACCGAGCTGGCGGAGGTGGGCTTCGACTTGGTCTCCAGACAAGGCCTCTGGGCCTGGGAAGTCGTGGAATGGTTCGCCTTCAATGGTCGCGACGTACGGGCCGTAATAGATGCAGAGCTTTTGCACCATCTGGCTGATGCGCGAGATATTGTTGTTGCTACTGCAGATGAAGGCGACCAATGCCTCCCAGGCTGGCTGGTTAAGGATGCGAATCCCGGTGAATGCGGGCGCACGGCGGGCAAAGTTGGCGTCAGAAGCAGCCCATTGCTTGTAGAGTGAAGCAACTGAAAGCGAAAGAGCGAAGTAGCTATGCAAGAGTGATGCTGTATCGTCCTCTTTGCTGTCGCTATCGCTGCCTGCTGTGGGTGATAGAGACCCCGGAGGCACAGAGGCCGGAGGCGTCGGAAGGTTACTGGTTGTCTTGGGCCATGACGCTCGATAATGCAGATGCGATGAGTCCTGCTTCAGCGAGATGAGGCGACCGCCGAGTACGCAGTGCCTAGTTTGTGTTAGGAGGAGATAAATATAACATTGGGGTGTTGTCGCATATATTCTCACCATTCTTCGTTTATTTTCCGCCACCGAAACGATTCTACAGCATTATGTTAATGGATCACTCTCAAAGTGTGATGGTCTAAATCAAAATGAAAAGAAAAGAAAAGAAAACCTACGTCCGCAGCGGAGCGTGGTGTCGATACAAAGCTCAGTTAGACTCAGGGGCAGCTTTCGCCAATCCGCCGCTTGGGCTCCCATTGGATGGGATGTTGAGGGAGGGAGGGAAGGTCGCCGGATTTGAGATTAAATCAAAGGAGATAAAACTAAATTACAGTTGCGAATAAATACCCGTAGGAGTACGGAATGTCGATAAATACCCCAATTGAGCGAGAAAGACAAGCCTTTGAAGATTCAGAGGTGATGTTTGAAGGGTTATGGAAATTGCTTTGTAAGTTCACTGCAAGGAGCCGAGCTGAGTGAAGCAGAGCTGGAGCAAGGAGAGAACTCCACTCAGGTGCTTTAACCCAAAGTGGATTGGCGTAGCCAAGCCCGCATTGTCGCCCCAAAAAAGTTCCAGCCTCGCGATCAACTTGAACGCCCTCGGATCACGTTCCTGCAAGCTCTCCCTCGTACATATCTGCGACTTCAAATATCACATCGAAATTGATAGCCAACCGCAGCAATTACAATGAATGCGGATAGTTACGGCTCCAGAGGTACGCCTGGCCCCTTCTATTATGCTCAATTTAATGCTAACCGACGCGACATAGACGGCGGTCGACACGGCTCGTCTCGCGACTATCCGGTAAGTACATATGCCTGCATCATCATCTGTGGTGCCGCTGGAACTAACATGGCTATACGTTAGTCTTCGCGGAGAGATCGTGACGATAGACGCGACCGAGGCGACACGCGAGATAGAGGCAGCGGACGCAGACGCTCTCGTTCCCCCGACTATCGCAGCGGCGGCCGATCACGTCGCGAGGACGGCGATGTAGATGCCTACTCCTCGAGCCGAACCCACCGCGACCGCGAGCGTGAGGATCGTTACTCCGGGCGGGATCGCCCCCGCGGAGGTGACCGGGGCGAGAGGGAATGGGACCGTGATCGGGGTGCCAGGAGCCGGAGGGACGACGACGACCGGCGGGAGCGTCGCCCGGAGCGGGACTTGATGGATGACCGTCGCGGGCCGGGGCCTAGGCGTGATCGCGATTTCGACAGAGAGCGGGAACGGCGGCGCAGTGTGTCGCCTCCGCCCAAGCAGCGCGAACCGACTCCCGATCTTACCGATGTTGTCCCTATTCTTGAGCGGAGGCGGCGCCTGACACAGTGGGATATCAAGCCACCCGGGTACGACAATGTTACAGCTGAGCAAGCCAAGCTTTCCGGCATGTTCCCCCTTCCCGGCGCGCCGCGCCAACAGGCGATGGATCCAACCAAGCTCCAAGCGTTCATGAACCAACCCGGCGGCGCCGTCAACAGTGCGGCGCTGAAACCCTCGAATTCCCGCCAGAGCAAACGCCTAATTATCTCGAATCTGCCCGCATCGGTCACAGATGAGAGCCTCACCAACTTCTTCAACCTCCAGCTGAACGGCTTGAACGTCATCGAGACCGCAGATCCTTGCTTACAAGCGCACATCGCGGCCGAACGCGCGTTCGCCATGGTCGAGTTTAGGAACAACACGGATGCGACGGTTGCGCTGGCATTGGACGGCATATCGATGGAGGCGGACGATGCGCACGCGGCCAACGGCAATGGCACAGCACCTCAAGGACTGCATATTCGCAGGCCGAAGGACTACATCGTGCCCGCCGTTGTTGAGGACCCCAACTACGACCCAGATTCGGACAGGCCCTCGAGCGTGGTTGTCGACAGTCCAAACAAGATCAGCGTAACCAACCTCCCGTTGTATTTGACCGAAGACCAGGTTATGGAGTTGCTTGTTAGTTTTGGCAAACTAAAGTCGTTCGTCTTGGTCAAGGACAACGGCACGGAAGAGTCACGGGTACGCTTCCTTTGCGCCAGAATATGTAGCGCGCCGGCTAACCATTGTAGGGTATTGCTTTTCTCGAGTATGCCGACCCAGGCGTCACCACCGTCGCCATACAAGGCCTGCACAACATGATGCTTGGGGAGCGCGCACTCAAGGTCCAGAAGGCCAGCATCGGCATCACCCAGGTCTCCGGCGAGATGGGCGTCAACGCCATGTCCATGCTTGCCGGTACAACATCAGCCGACGCGGGGGCTGGCAGAGTGCTCCAGCTGCTGAACATGGTGACGCCAGACGAGCTGATGGATAACGACGACTACGAAGGTATTCGAGAACCCATACTTACTTGACTAGCCACCGGACACTTTGCTGACCATTGAACAGAAATCCGTGACGATGTCCAGGAGGAGTGCGAAAAGTTCGGCAAGATTCTATCTATCAAGATCCCCAGGCCGGCCGGCGGTAGCAGGCAGTCGGCTGGCGTCGGTAAAATCTTTATCAAGTTCGAAACGCCAGAAACCGCGACAAAGGCGTTACAGGCACTGGCCGGCAGGAAGTTTGCCGACCGTACTGTCGTCACGACATATTTCCCTGAGGTATGATTCAGCTCGAGCCCTTTACCGGATGATTGCCACAACTGACACCGGTACAGGAAAACTTTGATGTGAATGCTTGGTAATTTGTGGAAGGGAGTGCTATAGAAGAGATCTCGATGGCTAGGTGCCTACTGATGCGGGTTGACTGGAATGGGAAGCGCTGAGCATGACAAAAATGCAAATGTTCTCTTGAGCCCGAGTTCGGGGGCTGTTATATTCTTTCGAGACGGGTGGCATTCAAGTAACGTGTACAATTATCAATGACGAGGACGTCGGTTCTGTGGGTAGCTTCGCTGAGGTCACCATGGTCGAAGTATTGCACACTGATTGGTTTGGGAATTGGGTGAACCAACGCTGTTTGTATTCATTGAAAATTTGCTATCTAGCGGCACAGAAACCTACCGACTGTCGACTGACAAGTCATCCAAGCTGAAACTATGAGCAGGTTAGCTCTGCCCATGGCAAGATAATGCTTCGAAAACGAAGGGTATGATGCCAATGAAATCAGAAGTCCGATTCATTCATTGGGTCCCGAAGGACCCTAACATAAGAGGTACCAGAAAAAAAGTAAAGTGTTATATCATCAGGGAGAATGGCTTGAAGGGAGAGTAGAGATGTCGATCGCTTACCTGCTGAAATTGCCAAGATGACGCCTTATTACCGCATATCGGCGGCTGATAATGTAAAACACCAAAAGCTCAAACCTCACCGAGTGCGGGCCGAAGCCCGACAGGCGATGCCCGGGTTTTGTTGTTGTCTTTCAAGGTGGGAAGGCAGGAGAAGTTTGCTGGCAGAAAATTTCCCACTTTAACTTCATAGCCGGCCCCACCTCAGAGTAAATCTTGGCGCAAAATCGGGTCACGGGCGCCATCACGTGAAGGAATCACTTCCTGCAGCCAATCACAGCGCCGGCCCTAGTCAATTTCTCCGCCCACAGAATCACGAACTTCACGGAGGAAATTTCGCTCGCATCTGATTCTCCCGCCCAGCCAGCGACCACTCGACAACCCGACCGCCACCGTTTCCGATACCTCAGAACACCAACCACCGCCACCATGGGTCGTCTTCACAGCAACGGAAAGGGCATTTCGTCCTCGGCCATCCCCTACTCGCGCACCGCTCCGGCGTGGCTCAAGACCACCCCCGAGCAGGTCGTCGACCACATCTGCAAGCTCGCCAAGAAGGGCGCGACCCCCTCGCAGATCGGTGTCGTTCTCCGTGACTCCCACGGCATTGCCCAGGTCAAGGTCGTGACCGGTATGTTTGGGATACCTTTGTTGGGGAGAGAAATGTGGAAGTGGGAATGGTGGTGCTAACTGTGCTGCGATAGGTAACAAGATCCTCCGGATCCTGAAGAGCAACGGTACGGACTGATTTAGCTCCTTTGAATATTGGGAAAGAAAGAGATGGTCTCGACCACACCACATGCGACGATGCCCCGCGCGCGTACGAGCCTAAGCGGCGAACCCCGCATGGACGACCGAGCTGGATGGCAGGCGCAGAGGTGGGGGAAAAAGACAAGAATATGAACAAGAGATGGAATATGCCTCTGTTTGGTCACCAGGCTGACAGAGTGATCGTGTGTACAGGTCTTGCTCCCGATATCCCGGAGGACCTTTACATGCTCATCAAGAAGGTATGAGCCTTGAGCGTCGCTCCGTCCTTAGGGACGGTGTGGCGTCCCCCCAGACCCCAGCACAAAGCGATTGCTAACCAATCCAGGCTGTTGCCGTCCGCAAGCACCTTGAGCGCAACCGCAAGGACCGCGACTCCAAGTTCCGCCTCATTCTGATCGAGTCGCGTATCCACCGTCTCGCTCGTTACTACAAGACCGTCGGTGTCCTTCCCCCTACCTGGAAGTACGAGTCGTCGACCGCCAGCACCCTGGTCGCTTAAGCGAAACAATGCAATGGGTATGTCGTGTCGAGACGGGGTTCGCTGGGTGGCGGAAGCGTGGGAAGGATCTGGTTCTTTGCAGCTTTTGGCCCGCCGCTGTGTAGCCGTCCACAGGTTTGGTCCGGGTCATTGGAGTTGGGGAATGGAAAGGAAACTTGCATTCTAGAGTACCGCAATGGACGCAGGATAGTGCTCTCTCCCGGGCACGAAAAGCATGGGATGAGGAGCGACGAGCGAGGAAATAAATGCAATGCATTGCTCCTCTCAACTGCGATATAATGTTCCGTGAAGTGGTATCTCAGGCCCTGCAACGTCCCACGTCCACATGAATCCCTTGGCCATCACTCCCGACCGCCTTTTGCCAATCACTGCCCCGACCCCGACGGCTTGTGGTCAGCGCCACTCGAGTGGCCCGCGTTTTTTAGTCACTCCTTGGTCTCAGGCGGCTCGCGCTTCACCCCATCGCCCACCTGGGGATGTTCTTCCTACGAACTCCCCTCCTTCCCCTCCAACTCCTTGCTCTTCTGCAGCAGAAACTCCCCCAGCATCCGTAGCGGATCCTTCGGCCTGTCACAACCGCCCCAAGAGTCAGCATCCCATTCTGCGCAACCTTGTCCCCTCCCCCCAATAGGAAGAAGAAGCCCGTCGTCAAGCAAGACACAAAAAAAAAAAAAAAAAAAAAGAAAAGAATAATAATAAAAAAAAAAACTCACTGCTCCCTCGCCACGATCTTCATCCCCTCCAGCAGCACCCCCGTGACCTTGCTGTTGAGGTACTGCCGCACCGGCGCGCCGTGCGCCGCCGCTTCTGTCGGCATCGCGAACCCTGTCGCTGTTGCTGTTGTTGTTGTGGTTCCGGCGGGGGTTGTTGTGTCGGCTGGGTGCTGCGAAGCGGCGCGTGAGGTGGGTTGGTTCTGGTTCTGGTTCTGGTGCTGTTGCTGTTGGGGTGGCTGGTTGGGTGTGGGGATGGGGGTTGGAATGCGCGCTGTTGCGGATGCTGGTGCCGGTGTGGTTGTGGGTGTGTCGTGTTGGTGTGGTTGGGGCTGTGGGGGTGCTTGGGGTTAGTTTTGTGAGGCACAAAGATGGAAAGAAAGGGTCTCTTGGGTTGGGGTTGCGCTTTGTGTGGGTGATTCTGCGTGCACATCAAGGCAAAGGGAAGGACGTACTACTGCCGGGGAAGGGGCATCGGTCATGGAAATGTCGGTCGCATCGGGAGCGGAGATGCCATTGACTGTTTCCGGGTGGGGATTTGGGATTTCCGTGCCCTCGATTTGTTGTGGAGCTGTTTGTTCGGACATGTTTGTGGTGTAGAATGGTGATTGGAAGTAACTATCCTGAACCTGGTGTGTTCGGCACAAATCCATGATGCGACTGGGGCATTGAAGCTTCGAGTTTAAAATGCCCCACAACGTCCCACCACAGCACAACACGAAGTCACGGGATGTCGCGTCCAAAGAAAGTAGGAGCCCCGTCACGCTTCTTCCTGACTCCTTTTCTGCCTGGAGGTCAAACCCAATTCCCAATTTTTCATTCCTTCCACCATTCCCTCATCATGGTCCCGCACACATTTGTGTACTTCTATTACGGAAATGGATCGTTTCATCCAAAGGTCCAAACCCAACAAAGCCCCAATACAACCTGCAACTGCATCTCTGCTCCCCAAATCGGAGCCAAGATCATGTGAGCCGCCGAGAAAAAGGGCCCGGCTCGTTGAAGTTCAGGTGGACAGCGATGATGAAAATGGGGACTTTGTCTCCAGCCATTTCGAATTTGGGAGGAGGAAGACCTTTTTGGCCTTCCTGGGGGACATCCCGTTCACGACAAGGCCTTCTAACCTCCGGAGGCTGACGAGGGGCGATTCGCTTGGGCCTCAAGCATGTAACAGCCTTTTGAAAGGCTCACTTTCCCGCTTGTCGCCACTGACAAGGAGGCCATTGAGGAATATGAAACTTTGCAGGCATCCCAGGCTTCGCAGGATGAGACGGAGAACGCTTCTTCCAGAGCAGATACCCGACGGTGGATTCGAGGGAAGAGCTCCATCTATGTCGACGCGTTCAATCTTGCTCTAAATACGGTTCTTGAAGACGAGTCACATCTGTTTGATGTCGAAGAAAGATGTGTGTTTGAGCAGTGGCGGGGCTTGAGCTACGAAGCTCAGTACCTGTGAGCACTCCCGCCATTTTACCGTGACCCGCTGTCTGACAAGTCAGGTACGTACGTCTCTTTTTGCGCAAGACTGCCTGCTGGCATCGTGTCGAGCGTCTAGGCTATCACAATGACATCTCGGATATGTCAATGGCTGTTGCCAGTCTGCTCGAGTCTCGGCCGCTTTTGAATGATACCAATTCCGGACTCGACGAAAACGCCGTCGATTACGATTCTTGGAAAGCGGATGGCGCGTTCTGTTTTGCCGATGAGTCCCACTCGTGTATCAAAACCATTGAGGAGGCTGTCACGCTTTTAAGCCTCGACGAACTCAAAGCGCTGGCCAAGGAGGCCAAAGTTCAGGGCAAAAACAAAACTGACCTCACCAAGGCTTTATGCCGCGCGAGCGCCCAGCAGTCAGGTCTGATGGCGGTAGGCCTCCGCCGCTCAAGCTCGAAGGAGTCAACAGCTTCCGGTAACAGCCTGGAAAACCAAGACTCGAATCGGAACACTCACTTCCTAAACAAAATTCTTGCCATTACCGGGCCTTTGGTCAGGTTATCGGAGCCTGTTTTTAAGTTGTTTGAGCGTGTCCACCTTGTCTTTTACCGCTCAACCGAGTGGACCGAGAAATCACTCACAACTATCATCCTGGCCAAGATGGCCCGACGAAACTACCCCGACTACATTGTGTGTCGATCGGCCAACATATTCCCGTCCCGGCGACATCTTCTAGAATTTGAACTCTCCATGAGAAAAGAGTTTGAGGTCGATGGTGTCCTCGAGTTCAACGGCCCGCCTGGAGAGGAGGGCTTTCGGAAGATCCTTGCTGTCTTCGAAACGATTGCGCCGCGTTGGAGAGAGTTGATCAAGGAAGAGAACGACAAAGAATCCCACTTGTACGAGTTTGGTGAAGGTGGTTATCTTCGCCGATTCAACGCAGGTCATGCTTTTACACGCATCGCGCACAAGGCGGCCCATGTTCTCGGCCGTCTACACAACTACCTCGAGGAGCATAAGCTGCTTACTGAGCTTCTCGATCAACGCTTATTCCATCCCGCACGCCGTGGCTCCTGGTATCAACGCAAGGCACTGCTGGAAGAACGGTATATGTGGGAGGCAGGCCCTGACCCTGTGTCGACTGACCTCGAGGTCCGGAAGAAACACTGGCAGCGAATCGCGGTTACTACATGCGAAACCGCTCTCGAGGACCGTGATTGCCACCTGATTTACCATTATGACCTACAGAAACGTCTCCTCAAACTCGAAAAGAGGTTACGAGTTCCTCGCCGTCTCCAACACGATTTCGGGCACGTCAAACTGCGTGAACCAGAAGTGCATACCGTGCAAGGTATTCAGGTGATCCGAGACGAGCCAGATGTCAAAGGGAAGACCGGCCGCGGACCAAGCACCAAGACGGTATGGCTCGATGAACTAGGCGACCCGGGCGAGGACGGTCAACCTCTCCACGTCAGTGTTGAGGACATGTGTCTGTCATATTATCGCACCCAGGGATGGAAGGGTTATCACAGCGAAGGGGGCATTTTACGAACGCTATTCGCCTACCTGTTCTATGACGTCCTTTTCGTTTACATACCAAATGTCTTTCAGACGCCTTTCCAGACCTGTCCACTCGACCTCCACACAGACGCCTTCTACCCAGCCCGCGCAAGCCAGATCAACCATAGGCTTGTCCAGATCGGCAACGGAGAGGCCGAGCAGATCCTACGGGAAGTTCATGAGCGAGAACATGAGCGCTGCACCTGTGTCGTGGGTTTAAATTGGGACTTTGAGATTGAGGATTTGGCCGACTTGGTGGCCTGCTTCGACGGAGGGGCGCTTGCTGCCGTGTGCAAGGTCATGGCGCAAGAGTACAGAGCTCGGGGAGGCGGCGTACCAGACCTCATTCTGTGGCGGGCGGGCGGAGACGATGGCGAGGGCGGTTACCGAAAAGGGGAGGTGATGTTTGCCGAAGTCAAGAGCGCCAACGACCGGCTCAGCGATACCCAACGTCTGTGGATCAACGTCCTCACCGGGGCGGGAGTCCGGGTCGCCCTCTGCAATGCAAGAGCTCGAGATGTGCGAGCGAGCTGATCGAAGCACCAACCCCTTCTCGGTGTCGCCGGGCGAATGGTTGATTTTTCTCCCCAACGAACACGCTGAAAATAGCAACCTCATCTCCGAGCCTCAGGCCGCGTGTGACCAAAGCCCGCTCTCTTCGTGACGGCTACGAGGACAACGAGGCATCCTTGGCCCTCCAACGGCTCATAATGGAAGCAATGAACCCAACCAGGGCTTTCTAACCAACGACTCGCACGTGGGAAGACGGGAGGAAATGAAACAGCTCCAAATATAGAGCCGTCCCAGCAGCACGCGTTTCAAAGTGTTCCGAAAGCCTTCGAAACGTGGACGTCTGCGTTTCATCCGCAATGTCGCTAGTGGGGGGTTAAGAACAACCCCCCCTGGTTGACGTTTCAGGTAGTATGCAGTTTCGAGATCCCTTCTCGTACTCAGACCCTGGACTTGAGGGGTAAATCGTTTGATACGGCTCTGGGAGGCCGTCAAGGGGCAAAATACCTGGCCCCTTCAGTTTCTCGCCAATCTTACAGCCGGATTTCGAACTTGTTTACGATCGCCTTCTGCACGCCCGACATATTGGCTCAACACCAATCAAGTGCGCTGGTTCACTCTCGTCTTGCACGAAATGTGACGAATGAAACATTACCGTCTCTGCAATGCAAGTAGTCACACACACTGACCTCCTGCTGCGCGAAGCCAGAGATGCGCCCGGGTGTACCTTGCCTCTCGGGCGAGACGCCACAATACGGCAGGCAGATGCAGATGCACTTGCAGACGGACACCAAGTAGGAAACGTGACGGAGCAGGCCTCCCGTCGCCAATCCCTTCAGCGGGAAGAGAAAGAAGCATGCGTCTCCTTCGCGGCAGGCGAGTCGCTCACTCAGCGCTTGAAAGACCTCAGCGAATCGTTTCCGTCTTAACAACAGACTTGCCGCACCTTCTAATTCTCAACAATTGCTTTGTGACAAAACCGCAGCCAACCTCCCTTCACTCGGATGGGCAAATTAATGAGAGCTACTCATTTATCCCTTTCCCCTTGCCATGCGATGCGATGCGCACCCTCATTTTTCCACATTCTCCCTCCACAAAAACGGGCGCTTAGCAGCACCATCCACGCAACCAATCACCTCTCCTAGGCCCGCACCCGGCACACCCCTTCCTGCAACTGCAAGTGACGACACACACCACAACAGCTCCTGTCCTGGAAACGACATGCGCGATTCGGCGACCGGGGGGCCAAGTGGAGCCCCAGCACCCCTCCCGGGGTGGTGTGGGCGCTTAATGGACACTGGCAGGGCGACGGGCTGACCAGTGAAAAGGCCCCCAGTGGGGCCAGCCTGAGCTTGACCATGCGGGCGGGATTGCGCTTGGCTGGTTCGGGCATGGCGCCGGTTTGGGGGGATGGGATGGTTCTGTTGCCGCTTTAACGTAACGAGAGCAAGGTTCGTTCAATGTTTGCGCAGCGCTCTGCAGGCTGGCTGGTGAGAGAATACGCAGAGGCAGAGGGAGAGGCAAGTCGGTGTATTTGTGACTCGGTGTCTTCGAGAGCTCTCTGACGAGTATTAAACGGGTGTATCGATCATTTCGACCATTGGAAGCGAACCATGCTTGAGAGAATGTTCTTTAATAACGGTTGGTTGGCACTTACACGGCTCGCCTCGCATACACTGTGGCAGCGGTTGGGGGCCAGATCGATATTCGATCCAACAGCAAGATCATCTGATCGGTTAGGGAGCAAACAAGCAAGTTCAGGACCGTATCAACGGTTTGACGACATCAGAGTACTGTGTAAAATAATCACAATACTTTTGCAGCTGCCTGTCAAAGTAGCCCCCAACCCTGTCACCGCCCATCAAACCAATGCAACTGGCCAGGGCAGGGGGAGCTCCCGCATGCATCGACAGGCCGCCGCTCATGCGACCGCCCCCTCATGATGAACAACAGACAAAAACAAACGCACGAGATAACTGGTCCGCTTGGAGGGACGGCCGCGTACAGAGAGGAGAGCACATAAACACAAATAAACAAACAAGCGGGATAGGCTGCAGATTTGAATGCCGTGCTGGGGATGTACCCAGGGAAGCAAACGACACAACCATCACAAGGGAAAACAAGGTGTTTTGTACGTTGAAGGTATACAATTCCCCACGTAGGCAAACCGCTCGCTATTCACATGTAACCGATGTACATACACGATAATATCGCCCAACCCATGCCACTAGCTCACTGCATCCCCTCCCTGCCTGGGGGCCAAATCCCCCTAAGTCCCCAAAACCTCCAAACAAGCCCGCAATGCTCGTGCTTTGCCCTGGTATTGAGATAGCCCTTCTCTCCTCCGTCCTTCCTTCCCTCCTTCCTTCCTCGCCAAAACAAACAGTCAAGACGCCGTCCTGCAACGCCGCCCTTCGCCCATCGCCCCCATGTAAATCCTTCCCATCCATTCATGCGTTCGCCGCCAAACAGCGTGGGCTCAAACCCTCTTTTCGCCCATCCCTGTACTCCCCGTGCCGTAAAAAAAGAAATTTCCATGTCCTTCTTCTGCTGCGAACCCCGTGGGTATGTGGTGCTGATGATAATGATGATGTGGTGGTGTGATGGCGGTGCATCGTTTGATGAACAAAGAAAAAATGATTTGACCAGCTGGTGTGGTTGTGGTGGTGTTGTTATGTCGCGGTCGCCAGTACCGCAGGTAAGTAGGTATTATATGTACGCAGTTCCGTATCCCCATCTCCATATCTCGGAAACTCCTTTCTCTCATGACTTGACGGCCGTGTCGGTGTCGATCTTTCTCCTCTTGCCCTTGGGCGCGGGCGCCATCCTGGGGGTGTAGGTCACGGTGCGGGTGACCACCTCACGGATATGCCGTACGCTGGACCTCGACTCCCGCTTGCCGTGCCCTGGTGTTAAGGGTGTGCCGGCGGTGGCCTCCCGGAGGCCGGGTGTCTCGGGCTCGGCAGGGCGTTTTGAGCCGCCGGGTGTCTCGGCGAATCGCCTGGACTTGAGCGCCGCCTCCCAATCAAAAGGCGACCTGATGGATGCGGCGCTGAGTGGTGACCTTGGGGAGTAGAGCCCGGCTGTGGTGACGGCGGGGGAGGCGGGCAGCTTCATGCTAGGGAATACGGTTGGCCCGGCAGGTGGCGCGGACATGGGGCAGCTGGGACCACCGCGGGGTGGTGTGGACTTCTTTGTTGTATCTATTGGCGCAGGCTTGGAGCCCTTGGTCTTCTCCTTCTCCTTCTCGACCTCGTTGCACTCGCAGCTCAGTTCGGACCGGGCTGTCGACGGGGCGCTCTCGATCTGGTCGCCCTTCTCCTTCTCAGAGTCCTCCGTCTCGGTGGAAGAGCTGCTCGCGCTGCTGTCGTTGCTGCGCGCGCTGCTTGTGCTGCTGGTGGTGCTCACTGTGCTTGTTCGGTTCAACACCGCCTTCCCTGTTTGCGGTGGCGAAGCGAGACACGGCGAGATTAACGACATGCCCTTGAGGAAGTCCAAGTAGGCAACAGGAGGCGTAATGGGGGTCTTGAGGAGATCATGCTCCAGCTTGATGGTCGCGCTGAAGGGCCCGGCAGAAGGGAGCCCGGCGGAGGGCAGTCCAGAGGAAGGGATGGGATCCCGAAAGGCCGATGTCCGCGAGATGGCGGACAAGGGTGTGTTGGCAGAGACGGCCGACGGTAGCGATACGGCAGACCGGAGCTCCGAGGCAGATGGCGGCATGTGGGGGAAGTTTGCGGTGAGGGGTGTCGACACCCTCAAGGTAGGTCTCGCCGACATGTTGGCGGGTGGTATGGTGGTTGAAGAGGAAGGGTCGGTGTGTGCGTTTGTCGAACTGACAGTCGACTCACCTCGGGGAAGGGTGAGAGAAGAGCCGGCAGTTAGGCGGGAGAGGAAGACGCAAGGTGCGGGAGGGTGGGTAACCAATGATTATATGAAGGGATGGGGTGGGCAACGGAGGAGCGTCCAGGCTCCAGACAGAAGGATCGAGCGCTGATTCCCCGCGTGGGCTAGTTTCGGCCGGGGGGTTTCCTGGCGCGAAGTATCCCTGTATCTCTGAATCCCAGAACACCGGGTTGGCACACCGGGGTCTGCTGCGTGGCTTGGGATAGCTCAACAACAAGCAGTCGGTGTTGTTGGTTTGCTGAATCGGCCCGCGTCAAGACCAAGTGGGGGCAGAAGACAAGTGAGTGAGGATCAGCTAGACGAAAGAGGGACGGAATGTTAGCCAGTCGTGCCTATAAAAAACAAAAATAAAAAAGGTATGTTTGCGCTGAGTGGCCGGTTTGACGCTCGACACGCCACGAGAACGAAGACAAGGTCAAAAACAGAAGACAGGCCGAAGAAAGCAATCGAATTGCGGGCAAGGGTTCAGGAAACAGCACGCCTCTTGTCACTGGAGGGGGGCGGCGTTAAAGCAGCGGCAAATCAAGAGAGCGGCCGCAGTGGGGCAGGCTTGACAAGCGAGCAGCGACCACTCGACAGGGGTCTCTCCGGCGGCAGTGGAAGGATGAAAGGGTGAAAGTGTGAAAGTGTGCTTGAGATGTGACTCGGGTTGCAGCTGGCTTGCCCCGTCTTGATGCCCGTGCTGTTCGACTTGTTCCTCCGACGTTCCTCTTGGGAAAAGCGCTCGTCGAGAAGAAGTGGGCGGAACGGGTCCTTGACCGGGGATAGAAGCGGGAGATGAGATAATAAAAACAGTTTGCACTTACGGAGTACTGCCTGTTCAACTGAGCGCTTAACAGGGTTCGATATGGCGAGGCGCCGAGGCAGACTGACAGGTCGTGATGTCCGAGTCGGGGATTTGCCCTCTTAAATCTGAACTGCTGAACTGGGACCAAAACCGTCAGTGGGCGCTTCACGGGCTAATTTGCTGGGCTGCGAGGAGGAAGAGGGAACCCGGGCACAAGTGCAAACCTTCGAAAAGGAAAAGGGTATGGTCCGATTTGCGGCAGGGAAGATGGCGCCGGGCCCAGTAACTACAGACTGTGGAGGATGCTTGATGCTGGTGCTTGCCACGAGCCACCAAGGCCGCGCGGATCGTGATGGCGTCGGTCTCTCAACCGCTGGGACAGGGCTCTTGTGCCTGATTGGTGGTAGGCGCGGGACTCTCAGCAAGGATGGGCGCTAAGGTGATATTATTAGCATCGCACCGTTTGATTGGACAGGTCTTGCCGCTCACCAGGTACCACAACGACAGCTGACAGTGTTTCGATGTCGAACTGTCTCGATTCTCGGTGTTGACGAGATGTGATATCGCAGTCGAGAATAGAAACAGCAAAAGTGAAAGGGGAAAGAGGAACTTGATGTGAATGTGGGGGGGAAGCAGTCCGATAGGTCTGAGAGAGGGAAGAATAAGGCGGGCACGTCCGGCGTTCTTCTGAGATTAAGGTGCAAGTGAGTCCACGGAACCAGCCTGTGGGATGAGAGAAAGCAAAGAAAGCGTCGGTATGAGCGGAGGAGGAGATGAGTTCTGGTGCTGAAGTTTGACTCGAACCAGCTGGAAACCTTTCTCTTAATATCGTGGTGGGTGTTTGGCGCATATATGCACCCTTCGCTCATGGAAAGCTCCAACCGCCTTTCCTTTCTGCAGCTCATCTGCCGCCGGGCGGGTAACCCTTTGCATGGCTTCCACGCTGAACCATGACCACTGGCTAGATCATTCTCGAGCCGCCCTTCCGGATGCTTCGACGGAGCGCGCGCCACCAAGTTGCATCTGTAGCTACCCAAAGCCAAGGGCACCATCAGTTCCCTTGCGCAAAGGAAGTTAGTGGCTGCCCGTTTCGCGAATCCTCGATTCCCAGGCGCGCTTATTCCAGGCCGCATCTTCCAAGACCTGATACCGAACCGCGACCAACACCCTCCCCGCGGCTGTTGACGCGCTTGCAAGAGCTAGTTTAGCTTTGGGGGCGTCGGTTGGCTGACACCTCCCACACCGTCGGACTCGGTACGTATCTTGCCGCCCTCGACCAAGTCAACCATTGGTTCCCCGCCGGTAACCCTTCGAACCTTCATGGTCCTGGGAATATAACATTGACAGAGCGCGCGCCTGTTCCTCCGGTAACACTGCTTCCGTTTATCGGATGGAGAGGGCCGGCCTACTCTGCGGCCCTGCCGTGGTTTTGTCCACGCCGACTCAACGTGCCACCTTGCCGCATCGCCCACGAAGACTGTTTCTCGCTTGCCTTCACTGGTTGGTTTCCGGTATCAAGGGCTCATCTCGTTGAGGGATCGTGGCTGCCGATAGACTGATTCTTCGCATGCTCATGTCGAGCCCAGAGGGCTGTGTGCGGACCGTAACTGTACGGCATGCTGGAGGCTGGTATCTGACGATGGAACTTTTCGGCGGCAAGGTTGCGGGTCTGCGGGCCATTGGTCTGGCAGATAGTGCAGTAGCCGCTATAGAAACCAGGGCGGTACCGTCTACCACGCAAACAACGTGGGTAGCCGCGTGGGTTACTTGGTAGCTGGGCCTTCGTGCAGCTCCCCACTCGTTATCGTTGACACGTTCCTTGTATCTACGGGCGGATGCTTTCTCCGCCGTGGTCTCTTGACTGGGCCCCATGTCTGAACTGCCTTGCAACATACGTCGTTTGCCGCTTCCACATTCTTTCCGCCATGGCCACCCGCTGAGTGATGCCGATACAGGGGTTCACTGCCCAAGATATCTCAGTTCAACTGCTTACCGCGGGTTAGCAGGAGTTATGAGTCGAAACCCATTCTTCGGATGTCAGGGCTCTTCAACTTCGCTCTTCTCGTCGACGGGATGTGAAGCTTCTCTCAGCCCCTAAGCAAACGACCCCATCTGCGGTTCTGGTTCCCAAAGGGCCCAGTCATGAGAGCGAGACCATTGATCCTTCAGTTGGCGCCGGGCGTCTCAAAGTCGAATGAGAGGTGGCATTGCTCTCTCTGCGGCTAACGCACACGGATCCCCTGCTACCTAACCAACTGTCTTCCGTCAGTAAACGCTATTCGAGCCGCTTCTGGATCCTTTGCTGCAGGATAGACACCCATCCCAACAAGGCAGCCGGCACAAAGCCAAGTCTGTCCTGCGTCCGCCCCTACCAAAGCAGGTAGACATGTGCCTCGGGGCTACATGAACTCACTTTGGCCTCTGTGGTTTGTGTTGATGCCGTGCCAGCCCATGTTATCGCGGATTTCGTGAATACGGCCGGGACAGGCGCGACTAGGAGGCACAATGTCCTCCACTGAGAAACCTGCAGCGGCCACGGAATCAACAGATTGGCCCAGCAGTTCTTCCTTCCTCCTTCGGTGACTATCAGTGAGTCAGTAAACACAACAGCCCAAGAGCAAGGAAGGAAGCCTAGGATCGGAGGAACATCCGAGACTTGGATGATGGCGAGGCTGGAACTTTGACCCACCTAATCCACAAAGGACCAAAGTCCTTCGTCGTCCCCTTCTTTACTGTGGTATCTCTTGAGCAACTTGCGGTCCACTGCGTCCCTCTGTCTTCGTTTTCTACTTGGAAGTTGCCGGAACCGAACCACCGACAGCCCCCAAAGGCAGACCCAGTGTCCCAACACTGAAATGTGACGCGACACTTCGGTGGGCAGACTGGAGGGCTTGGCGTGGCCTCTGAGTCAAGATGTTTTGGCTACCTGGTTCCATATGGACACGTTTGGGGGCTGGGGTCGATCGAAAGCCAACGATGCAAGCAAGCGGCCACAGACGCAACCTGCTCCCGCACAGCGTTACCAGTTCGTAGTTGGGAGGAATACAGTATCTGCATGTCCAGTTGTTAGCTCACGCCAAATATTTTGCCATGGTGTTGAGAATCCAAAGCAAGAAGGTGTTTACTTCACGTGCCTTCCTTGACCCTCTCGCCTCTGTGCATCCCGGCCTTCCAAGACATGATGAAATAATACCCTATCGTGGAACAAGAGATTCCTAGATGTATTGTAACAGTTTTAGACTGTGTTCTGCCGAATAAATAGAATGTGGAAGGAACTGGGTAACATATTTTGGGTATCTTGCCCTTGAAGATTTATCGTGGGTTGGTGGTTTGTTTAGGAAGGAGCGAGCCGCTGTCCTGAGGCCTGCGGTGCCCCAGTCTGAAAAGATTTTCAACCGCAGTTTTGGTAATTCTTCAAACCAATTAACTTAGGCATTTATGCTCTCAGGTAGGCCATTCCATCACTGTCTTCAGTCGCTAAGCCTTTGAGTTGTTTGGCGAAACAATCTAGTAGGACAGCATCAGTAAGCATGTGTACCTAATCTTGGGAGAACAAATACTGGCATCTAACCATTTAACAGCGACAACTCCTAGCTGAATTTCCGGTAAGATATCTTGGCCCCTAGTTTGCTTTCTTCGTTGCCAGAATTCTAAGCCGGATTCTCTCGCGCCAGTGCAAGTCAACTCCTTTCTTGGGATCATGACACTTGACACAAGCGTCCCCTTTTCCTCTACTGGCCTTACCTAAATGTAGCATTCACTTGTTCATCGCATTCCCAAAATGCGTGTCGTTTGACTTGAAACGTGCCTTGACCACCACTGCCGATTGACATGGGACTTTCGGCGCAATGTTGTGGTGACCGCTAGAAAATCCCAGCCATGTTGCAAACTAGAACTTCTCCACGAGGCTGTCACACCCCCAAACTTGAACCAAACCAAAGGAACTGTGGAATTGAGGTTTCAGAGTAATGCCACTAGGCCCACCGTTATTTGGTGTTTCCGGGATTCGGGATATCGACGCCCTCGGCCGGGCAAACTCACCGATCACGTCGCTGACGAGGTTTGGCGCTTGCTGTTCGAATCCCACGGCGCCGGCCAACGGGAGGGAGCCATGAAAACGAAGCTTGCTTACTGAAAACAATAACTCTCACATTGCTAAACCTTGCTTTTGGGTACTGTCCAGCGTCGCCCCAGACGGGCCGCCGTATTAGGGGCTGAAGCCCATCACAATCAAGTCAGGAGAAAGCACTTCTCTGGCCAACGATATCGAAGTTCCAAAAGCCAAGATTGTTTCTTTACGGAGATGATTTCTGAAAAAGGGTTACCTCCCGTGTTCAATACAATGCTTTCTTGACGGCGAAGGCAGGAATAGCCCCGGAATTGCTTTAATGACTTCACCCTTGTGACGTTGAACACGCCACCAGTGCCACCTAGAAGGTAACGATCCCTGATTTCCTTTCTGTAGTTTCCGGTACCTTTCGGCATTGATCCACCTAAGCCCAACCTCATACCGAGCAGTCGATCCTTCGCTCGGCTGCCCTCGCTGTTGCAACACCCCTTCCCCGTTCGGAAAGGGGCTACGAGTCACAACGAGATGGGATATCAATGGCGCCTGGGAAGTTACGAAAAGGCAACACCTACGCCGTTACTCATTGATATTACATTGTTCCTGTTTTGCAGCTCATACTCTCAGTAAAACCAAGTAACCGGGAGATGTCCCGAGATCGTGGCATCTGCCGCACACTTGTGGTATCACTAAGTAGTTGACGGCCACAGAGCACTAGCCTCGTTCCGTGAAATGTACCACGATCTCTCACAGTGGCCTTACTTAATAATTGCGGTCGAGAGATTGGGCATAATTGTTCAGGCATGTCTATGCCAGAACCAAGGGGTCCTTGTTTACTCCCAGCACGCCCTCGAAAGGGGTTCCATCACACCCCCTATTAGAAATAAACTCTGACCTGAATCGAGGTCACTCCGAAAGACCGCCTCAATAGTCATGCCGTTTCATCAAGCCTTCCTGGGGAACGTTTTGCTAATTAGCTATCACCTCAGTGATCAACCCGTCCTGGGGCGGATATCCAACCGAAGTGCCGAGACAACGGCACGCCAGTGGCCGCGTCCATGACAACCAAGCCGAGGACGCCAAACGGAGATGACAGCCCCATCTAGGACCGATCGTTTTCATGGCCGTATTCCCAATCAAGCCAGCCCAGCTCAGCGCGGCTGGCTCGGGAAGGTCATCGCCTGATATTCGCCGTCAGCAGACGACGCAGCTTCCCAACCAGGCAAGGTAAAAGTCCTCAGCTCAAAACTCGTCAACGGAGCAATCCGCCCAGTGCGGTAACAGCGCAACGCCCACAAAACCAGCTAACCAGTTCAGTCATGGCAAGCGCCGACCTATTCGGCAAACCATCGAGACATGAACTCAACGCCAAGCAAATGCAGATAACTACGGAGAAGAAGAAACACGTGCATTAGACGAAAGTGACAGGGGTGGAGGGGGGAGGCATATGCGACAATCTCAGCGTCGAATGGCAGAGCAGAACACCATGTTCACGATCTCATTCGCTCGGAGGACCAAGATTTCACGAGGAAGCAGGGACAGGGGGGAGCTACTTGCCCAAATCGGCAAGGCGAGGTAAACGCTCATGGGACGAACGGGGGTTCAGTTGAACAATGGAGAGTGAGAGCCAAGCATCCAAGATGGTTTGGAGGACTGGCACTGGCAGCTGCACACAGAGAGGGAGAGGGTGAGAGAGAGATCGACGGCTAGCGAGGCGGGAATCACTCCGGTGACAGAGATCAGGTGCGCCGACCTCCCGGTCGCCGGCAGGCAGGTAACGAACTCTGCGGGTGCCGATAGGGCAGGTTCCCACCCGGGGGAGGTGACGGACGCAAGAGGTTGAAACAGAGCTCACAACTTCCCTTGCGCGGCCGCAGAATCCGGGGTAAAAGCACAGGCGTCTTCGGCCAATAAGTGGAGGTTAGTGCCGACGGGAAGAGCCTCGCGCCGCAAGTCCGCGCCGGTGGAGCAGAGCTTGTGACAGGGCGTGACGGTGATGCTCATTGGCAAGGCTCACTCGAAAGGGTCACTTGTTCCCCCGGGTGCCCAGCAAGACAAGACCGTCGGTCCCGCGCTTTGCGACTGCATTTGCCCTTTTTTTCTGTCCTTGTCCTTGCGCCGGTCGATCCCGCTCTTGGGCGGGGCCATTTCGGTACGCGATTGACATCATCAAAGTCACCTATGTCTGTATTCGTACACCAAAGCGGCTACCGAGGGTGGTGGCATGCTTGCTTTGGGCGGTTGCTGGGCCTAGAAGGAAACGAGCGAGATGAGGTGCGATGATCGGTGTCAGCGGAACGGCATTGAAAGCAATCTTAGGCTGCCCTTCGAATGCTGCGGCGGCACTTGGTGTGCCGAGTTGCGCGCCTGGGGAGATGAAGGTGGTGAGGCGATGGTGGTGATTGCGACATTGCAATGACCAGGATTCGCGACGCGCGGTTGCGCTCGAAAACCTCAGGAACTTTGGGTGATGGGGGAGCACGGCGAGCTGCTCAGATGAGACAGAGCGGGTTAGGGTTATAGGTACAGGACCAGCGATTCACTCAAAAAAAAAAAAAAGAGCCAGTGACTTTGCAGCAAAGCCGAAAACAACCATTTGTCGCTGCATTTTGATCCATTCACAGAGCCGGAAACATGAGATTTTTGGACCTTTCCCATCCACTCATTCATCGGCTTAACGATGCTGGGATGCACCGCCGCTTGTTCCCGCCACGCATTGTTCTCCGGGCTGCATGGAAGTGGCGTCGGAATCATCCTCAAAACCTGCCGGGGAGGTCGGCAGACAGATCTGACAACTCATCCTGCGTCTGCTTGGATGACACATTCTGTCGTCACCTGATCGGGATCGGGAATTCATGCAGAGGGGGAAAGAGGGGGTACCGTGCATCCCCTTTCGTGTGTCCCGGCCCCTTCGTGTTTGCGATAGACACCTCGGCCATGTCCCGTTTAATTTATGAGTCTACCGAGAAATTCGAGCACGTTCCTTCGTTCTTCGTCCACTCATCGTTTCGCTCGGGTCAGCCCTTCTAGCAATGGGGAACCATTGCCGAACTTCGGCGTCAGTGCCTGGGTGTCCACTTTGCTTTGTCCCTCCACCATCGTGGCGGTATTGAGGGAGAATTGGAACGTGTTGGGCTGGGGAAGAAAGATCGGAATTGGGTTCGAGGTTGTCTTTGATGAACTGCAGACTGCAAGACGTCCTCCCCTGCTTGTTCTGGAAGCCTGATTTTGGTTGACCGCTCTGCGAGCTCATTGGGCCCATGAGGCCGCGATGGGTGATCGAGACGGATGGCTGGGTCGGGTCGGGGCCCACACCGACTTTTGGCCTGGCTTGCCTGGGAGGGAGGAGCCTGAGCGTTTTCCTGCAACCTCAATGCGCTGGCCCGCACCTCAACTTGGCACTGCTCCCTGCTTGCCCGGTCCCCTGGTCCGGCACCCGGCTGCGACCAAACTCGAGGACCACCCATCCGGCTGTTTGCCGGCCGAATAACTCGTTACTGTGCGTGGCGAGTCGGTATTCTCAAATTGGCCTAACCTTGGGCGCCGTTTGATGCCTTTCAGGGCCGGAGGCAAACCAGGCCCTTCCCATTACGGACCGCGTCAAAGGCCTCGACACTAATTCGGTGGGCCACAAGTGCCGGTGAAAGTGACGAATGCGGGTACGAAGTAACTCTTTTGAAATACAACGAAGGTGGGTTGGTTTCGAACTGCCAGATTTGCAAAAGAGTCAGAAAGCCTTCTCTGCCTCCGCAGTCCGTAGGAGGCTGCTTGGGCTAAATTTAGGCCTGGTCCGAACAGCGACACAACAGCCGGAACGAGGAGTCGTCAGCGGCTGTGGTGAGGCGAGTTCGAGCGAGAGACTGCTCTGCCGATCGTCGGTGAAGCCGACATGTTGCATGTCCTAGACACGGCGGAGCCGGCGAGGCTTTATGTATGCCCTTCCAAGCTCGCTGTGGTAGGGTTGCGATTGTAGTGTCGGCTGGAGTAACTGCCGTGACTTTGTAATCGGAGACGGGTGTGTCTCGACGTATGTATTAAGGATTTTATGCGAGTAGATTTGAGCGGAGGTATGTGCAGTTCGTTGTGTTGCCTGAGGTTGCTTACCGATGACCCGAGTTTGGTTGTTGGGGAAGGACTGCAGTTGAATCTGGTCCGCGGGATTGCTCTGCATCCCGGTCTCCTCTTCATCCCGGTGCCCGATCCTGTCTCGCTTGTCAGCCCGACGGGCATCTTGGTCACGTCATCAACAAATGGATGTATTGTATGTACATAGGACAACGTCATTGCTGTCGAAAGTCGACAGCGAGTGTATTGAACTCCACGAGTGCTAGTCGCCGTCAATGCCAACTAACATTGACACTTCAGATGCTCTTATCTTTGGGTGGCTTTCGGGTTAGGATGGAGGCTTTTGGTTGACAGCTGTCAAGCGTCAGGCCTCAGAGGCGTCAGACGCGTGGGGTTGTGAGGGAGGCACGCGTTGCACCTGCCAAAGTTGACCGCTCTCCCGCTCCGGGTACATCCTCGCAGCGGGCACTTTCCTGCAGCGACACCCCCGAAAACTCCTCGGACCCTTACCCCTCCCCTCATCAACCCCGCCAGCCCGCCAGCCACCTGCAACTTGGAACCTGCAAAATCCTCTTTCGGTGGCCCCACTCTCCAGCTGATTCACCCAACCAAATCCGCCTGTTAAAGCAGTCAGGTCGCGCCCTCAAATCATCATTCGGCCTTCCCTCGTCTCTCCTCCTTTCGTTCACAACCAATCAAGCCCTTATTCGTCTCTCCACTGACGCGCTGCCGACGAGGGCAACGCCGTCCGAATACCCCCAAAATTTTCATCAAATCAACGGCCGCCTCCAATTACAACAGCAAGCAGCAGCAATTGCAGTCCAATTAGGACCGCCAAACCACCCAAAGAGTGTTGCGCGACGTCATTCGAATCGCTTGCACGTTTCGCTTGCTCACTTGATCCGCGCGCCGAACCCAGGCAACGGTTTTGAGTTTCGAGCCCGGACCAGCGACGATTCTGCGGTCGCCCGAAGTCAAGGGTTCAAACAGCCCGGTCTGCAGAGACATCCTTGGCGCATTCGCCAGCATTGGAGGCGCAGGCAGGTGACAGGTATGTTCGTGTTTGCAAACCCGCCGCCCCCCGGCTTGTCCCGCCGTCGAACCCCAACACAATCGTGCTGTGCCTGGGGGTGGTTCGCTGTGGCCTTGCATCCCGACGCCTTGAACATGATGCAATGCGCAGCCCAGCCCTGGCCCCAAGCCTGCGAGTTGGTGAGGCGGTCGATCGCGGGACATCAGAGCCAGCCTTTTAAGACAAGAAACCCAGCCCACTCACACTTTGCCGCAGGCGCCAATTCGTTCGGCAAGATCCCCTTTAGGTATCCACTCCAGGACGGCCGAAACAGCTTTAGCTTCATTTTCAGCCAGTCAACAGCCGAGCGCAAAAGGGCAGCAAATCAACACTCGTCCCAAGGGGAAGAAAACACCATTAAACAAGAGACCTATCACCGCCCTCCTCATCGACATCGGCCTCACCATTGGCCCTGTCCCGGTCCCGTGATTGTTTCTGCCTGCGGACCGCAATCAACACCATCTCGCCGGTGTTCAATCATCGGCGTTGTTGCTGATTCCCAGTCGCAATTGCAAGTATTAACGCGCCGTGGCCCCTGTCCAACAGCGGTCCGTCGACTGTTGTGTAAGTACCCTCCTGGACCTTATGTCACAGCACCTTTCTGCACCTTTTCTGGGTTCTTGTCCTTGCATAGCCTACCCGCCAGCGACGCGTTGGTCTTCCCGCGGCTGCATCCTTTCGCTAGACCAATCTCCTGGCGCGGTTGTGCGAGGTCTTTTATTCTTTCTGTACCCGGCGATACTCAATCGTTGGGGTTTTGTCGCTTTCTTTCCGCCTATATCTTGGATGTGGGTGTACATAACTAACGCAAACAGCCATTAGCGTTCGCGGAGTAGTTTTGTTTGGTAGAGTTGACTTGGACGGCACACTCAACACGCCAGAACCCCCAAACGACCGATAAATCTCGAGACGGTGCGTTGCTTCTTTGCTTTTTCTTCTTGCTTACTCCTGTATCTGTCTCACACCAGCCTCGAACCCCTCACCTCCCATCCGGGAACACCCAGTTCCCACCAAGTTCCCCAGACACAGCTCCCCCACACCGTCCGACGTCTTGGACTTCCCCACTCTCGCACACTTTGGTGCAACCCATTACACCTTTCCTTCTGTTCTCGGCCTGCATTGCATTCTCGCCGCAGTTTGAGAAACGGCGGCAAGAGGCCGCATGCGCTTGGGACCCCGCAGCGCCAAACGACAGCCGTTTGGGACCAACGACTCCGCTGCCGCCTGGCACGACGAAGTCGAGATGCGCAGTTCCAGCGCATCCAACAACGTCTGTTGTTGTTGTCTAGCCTCAGGCTGCCTCTGGTCTTCTGTCATCCCTCTCTTGATGATGCTGCCCCAACTAGGCATGGGGCGATGAGCTGGTTGACATGGTGGGCCTGCCTCGTGCATATCCCGTCATGCATGCCAGCGCATCAAACCGGCCAGGGCCCAAGGCGCCAAAACAGAGGGCGCTCCACCACTCAGGGCTTTTCCCCTTCTGCCCATCCGAGCTCCTTCGCTCATATACCTTACTTGACAACCCTGTGCTAACACGTATGGTTCGTAGATTTGGGAAATGGAAAGTTAGACCAACCGCCGAGCTCACAGCTATTACCCATTGCATCCTATCTTACTGGCAAACATTGCGCCTGCGCAACCGTTTGTGCGTCTTCCCGTCCCGCAACCCGACGTCGGCACGACTCGGGGATTTTCAGGCTCGTCATCCACGACAGAGTCGAGGTGTCTTCGTACGCTCCCGTCCTCCCTCACGTGGCTGCGTTTGTCCACGCCATCTCCCGAGAGGCCTTGGATTGAGCCACCCAAGTTTCGCCTCGCAACGACATCAGCCTGCATATGCTGCGGTGCGACCAATTGCGCAGCCCCGCTACCATCCCATCGAGTGCCAACGCATCACTCCAATAGATTGGGTGCACACATCCAGCCCAATCCACAGGTACAAAGTGACTTGAGCTTGTCAGTGTGCCTTGATCCTCCCGATAGATCAGGTCCTTTAAGCTTTACCAGCCGTCGCGAAGCCTCTGGATCAACTGGAGTGGTACTCTCAGTGTCGCGTCTCCATTGTCGAATCCTTACCAAATCTACCTGCAGTCGGCTCCGCAATAGTCGACCCATACCCCCTATCACATCCACAGCAGGGCGATTGTCCCGGATCTAATTCGACGTTTCGTCGGCACCTCTGCGAGGATGATGGAATACGCACAATACCAGCAACAACCGCAAAGCGCACACTCACAGCCGCACATTCAGACAGGGTATCCTACCTCTGCAGGCGGCAACAGCATTACTTCGCCGTCCACGCAACATCTGTCGCAAACATCACCGATACTCCCTTCGCAACAACATCAGCCCTCGCCAACACAGCAACACGGCATGTACCAACCAGGGTATGGGGTGGCCCAACAAAATATGCACTATGGCCTGCAAGGGATGCAAGCTGCTGCCATGGCGGCCACCGCCGCCGCTGCCGGCTCTTCGTATCCGTACATGCCTTCCGATCCCAGCCTGCAGCAGTCGCCGAGGATGTCGGGTGTCGGCGCGAAGAAGGATGCCAGGGCGGGGCCGCGGTCGCCTCAGCAGATGGCCAACATTCCCCAGCAGCGGAGGCTCAGCCAGGTCGCCAGCCCCGGCGTCCCTAACGCGCCCACGATGCTGAACCACGGCGGCCCCCGCACGGCTGTTCCCCCTCCCATGTCAGCCGCGCAGCAAATGCCGCCGCCTCAATCCCCCGAGATGGCGTCTGGGGCTGTTGAGGAGTCGCCCCTTTACGTCAACGCAAAGCAATTCCACCGCATTCTTAAGCGACGAGTAGCTCGGCAGAGACTGGAGGAGGCGCTTCGGCTGACTAGCAAAGGCCGGAAGCCGTACCTGCACGAATCGAGACATAACCATGCTATGCGCCGGCCTCGTGGTCCCGGCGGGCGCTTCTTGACAGCCGAGGAGGTCGCACAAATGGAGAAGGACAAGACCGGTGGCGGAGCCGGCGAGAAGACGGAGGAACAGCCGGCGAGCACCAAGACTGCGGCGGGCGGGACGAAGCGCAAGTCGGAAGGCGGCGCGAACGGGCCGCCCAAGAAGACCAAGCGGGCGAGATCGACCCCCGAAGACGACGAAGACGAAGACGAATGATGACGGAAGGGGGAGGATGAAGAAAGAGAGATGCGGTTGAGGTCTATACCCGTTTTTAAATGTCCCAAGACATGTCATGAAGTTACGACAAGCAACCCCCCTTACTCTTTATTCATCCAGACTGGAATCGCGCGCGCGCCTTTAAGAGGAATGAGTTTGGCGAGGAGTCTATGGGCCGAGCGAGAGATGGCGTGTTTCGAGTGTTTCCTTCTGTTTCTCTTTCAGATTGGGCGACACTTTAGTATGGCTTTTTCTGTGCATCAACAGGGCAGCTCTCGGGAGCGACCACTCGTTTTCGTTTTCGGTTTTTGATCGTGGTTTGGTTTCTGTTCTGGTTGGCGAAGCGGCTCTGGCATTTCGTATTTTCCCTCTCCCGGATACCAACGATACACTTGGCCTCACAGCATATCAGCGACACAGAGCATAGCATGGCGGTCCCTATTTGGCAGGCTGGATTTTCTGGGTTGGGGGTTCCTGGGATGGGACGGCGGTTGGGCGGGGGCAGGAGCACTCCTTTGCAGCGGTTTTGGGAAGGAAGACAGCGCATCACGCGGTTACGACGGATACCCCCCAACATCCCCCCTGATTGTGGATGCGTTTTTTTTACTTTTCTTCCCTTCGATGCTATTGTTTATTGTTTTATTTGTTTCTTTTCGCCGGCGAGGATAACCTCTTGTGCTTTTAGCTGGGCGTGTGGTCTGGTCGTCAACTGGCAGAATGGAACCCGCGATGGGACAACGAAAATAGGAGAGGAAAGAAGAAAAAAGACAACATCAACCCAACAAGAACGAAAAAAAAAGAACAACAAGACTCAGAATGGGACGTGCAGTGCTGGAAACAGACTGCAGCAGTTCGTCCTACGCGTTTCGGTATCGCGTCGATTACTTTTCTTCTCTTCCCTAGGAGGTGGTGATATGGGATTGTCACTGATCAACGGGGAGTCAGAGACAGTGACAGGGAAGGAAGGGTCTAGTGTCGGATGACAATGAAGGACAGAGCCACTTCGTGGACATAGGAAGCCGAACTCCTAGTGTAGATGCCAACAAAAATTTCGATTATAGGAGCGAAATAAAAACGTTCCACGGGGCCAAAAAGACCGTGATTACCTTATTTGCTTGTACTTTTACTTTAGTCTCTTGCAACTCGACATCTTTTGCTCAGTTCTTTTGCCTTCGTCTTGCTCCCTGATGTCTTGTTTTCTCAAGTTCGGCTTTTTATGACCAAAGCATGAGAGCGACAGCACCGTGTCCCAGATGCAGCCCAGAGATGGCATGCCAGGTGGGGAAACGCCGAGGTCGACCGTCTCGTTTAAAAAAAAACCCGGGTACAGCGGCCGGGGAGCGTTGTGGGTGTGAGATTCTGTATGGTCAGACCGTCGCCGGATACATGAAAAATTGAATATATTCTTCTTGCTCTTTGAGTGGTTGCATACCAAACCACCCTCGCTTGGCTTTCGTCCGATTGGAGTGAATTCAGATGGGCGATGGGTGTTCTGACAGGTGGGATCGGATCGAACCAGACTAGGACTGCTGCGTGCGGGCCGCTTGATGACGCGCCGGCGGTTGGCTTGCCGATTTGATGAGGCCGGCGCGATCTCGGGACGGGGCGGCGGGCCCGGTCGGAGGTTTTAAGTCTTTGGCGGACTGCGCGAACACAAATTTGTCCTGTCTCTCATTGTAAGCCAACCCCAACCCTGAGAATATGAACCAGCCTATGGTGCCTCAGAATCAAGGCAGCAAGATTCATTCCCACCACGACGGCCAGCAAAACTAATGTGGGTCCTTCCACCAACGACCCAGGTCAGGCTCGGCAACTGCATCCACTGAATTGCACGTCAACACTGCACTGCCTTATCACGCATTTGCAGAAGGCGGCGCAACACTCAAAATGTTATTCTTCAGGTGAGTCCATCTCATTATCTAAGCAACTGTGTACAAATCCCGTTTTGGGATCTCCCGCGATCTACCTCCTGCGAGTCACGGGGCAGGTTGGGAACTGGGGCAAGCAATGAATGAGCAGGCAACATCGACGAGGCAGGGCGTTCACAGTTGTGTGAAATAAGATTCCGGCATATGTATACTCACAACACCGCAGCTTCTTCAAAACCCTCATCGACCACGAGGTCACGGTCGAGCTCAAGAATGACATCCAGATCCGCGGTGTCCTCAAGAGCGTCGACCAGTACCTCAACATCAAGCTCGACAACATCCAGGTTCTTGAGGAGATCAAGTACCCCCACATGGTGAGTTTGCGCTGTTGGTGATTGAGAGCGATGGTGGCGGTGGAGATGATGAGGGTCGGGATGATGGGGGGAAGAGGGTTTACGGGTGGGATGGCTGCTGACGGGCGGGTGATGTCACAGAGCGCCGTTAAGAACGTTTTCATCCGCGGCTCGGTGGTTCGTTACGTGCATCTCCCTGCGAATGCGGTGGACGTGCCACTACTAGAGGACGCCACGAGGAGAGGTACGCTTTTCACTGAGCCCGCGGGTGTTATCGAGACGTCCCGTTTGTTTTGTCCCTGGAGGCTAACAGCGTACAGAGGCGGCAAACCAGGCTGGAAAAGGGAAATGAGCGAGAGATAGGAGAAGGGACGTTGGTTATGCCATGCGCGTGTGCACCTGGAGGAGCTTTGCTTGCTTAAGCGCCAAACAGAGCCTGAAGAGGAATGCTCTGGGACCCTGCCAGAAATGGGCAGTACTTCAGAGTACAGGCAAGAAATTAGTACTGGACCACAATTAAATGCCAAAAGAAGGGGGGGATTTTGGCTGGTGACACGAGAACAAGTCACCTTTCTCGTGGAAGGAATGGACAACACGAATGGAGCGCCGTTAATGCCCGGATAGGAAATACCCTCGAACATCAAAGTTGGCTGCAACTTTCTCACACTGCGTTCTGATATCATCTTTTCGAGGGAGGCGAGGAGAATGCAAACATCCCGTTCAACGATTCATTTACCATCTTAAGATTCCCACTAGACTACTATGCTCTCAGATTCCAACCATTTCCTCCCATAACGATCCACCACCCAGTCCGTGACCCCATCAGCAAGCTCTCCACACTCAAACCTACACAATCAGCACAAGAGCACAGTAACAAGACACACCACCCAGACCCCACCTCCCAGAAGAAAATTCCCTCAACCCCCCAATATACCTCCCTTAGCTGATGGACCCCCCAGTGGAAACTCACCCCCGCCAAGCACAACAAAAGCGCCCTAAACCCAAGCACCACGCACACCACACACCACATACACCCTCCACAAGGGGAGCTTGGCTCAGTTGGAAGAGCGCAGGTCTCATATTGAGTTATGATCCCGTCTTAAGACCGGGGCTATCCTGAGGTCGTGAGTTCGAGCCTCACAGTTCCCAGTTAGTGGATAGTGGTGGAGGGGGATGAGTTGCTTTTTTTTTTTTTTTTTTTTTTTTTGGTTTGGCGCTGCTTTTTTGAGGGAGGGGTGGTGGGTTGGGTTTTCTTTTTGTGAGTAGAGGGTTTGTTTAGGCGTTCCACGTTTGTTTTCACAGTTTGGTTGTTTGGCCAAGTTGATCATTGGGTGAGTGGTTGTTGAGTCTTTACCATGGAATGGACGAAAAAGGGTATTTATTTATATCTTCATTGTACAAGATGCCTAGAGAACTGGTCGTCCCCAACAACACCGGCCTACACCAGAGATGAGGCGCCCTCTTATACACCACACCGTCCACAACCCCCCTCAACTACCAATAAGCCCCTCCACCCCGCCCATCCTTCCCCTCCCACAACGCCGCCCCCTTTCCCTCCACACCCCCTTTCCCCTCTCCGTC